CCATCCTCACTGTGCAGGCTTCTCAGGAGGTGTGTCCGGGCTCTGGGGGCCAAGCCTGGACAGGGCAGTGAACTCTGCATGGAGGCACCTCCTCCCCTCCCCTCAAAGCCTGTGGAAAACCCAGACCCAAGGGGCCTGGACTGTGATGTCCCTGACCCAAGGACCTGGTTCCCGGGCGTGCCCGGGGGAAGCCTCAGCCTCCTCGTTTATGAAATACACGTGATTGCACCTGCTTCGCTGAACTGTTGAGACCCTTGAAGGCCTGGCCCCGATGAGGGCCAAAGCTCCAGGGGGCTGGGGTTCGGACTGCTGGCCAGACTCTGGGAGAGGCGCTGGGGCTGGAGATGGCTTCTCTGGGCCCTAAAACATCTCGTCTCCGTGACTAGGAAAGCTTCCATTTCTGGAACAGAGCAGGATGACCTGCCTCCCTCGGAGCCAGCATTTGTTTATTTAATGAGCTACTTCCCAGCTCAGCGCACCTCTAACAGCTCAGCCACCACTGCTGTGATGCTGAGCCTCCTGCAGTAGGAGGGGGAGGAGGCCAGAGAGTTTGTAGGCCTGAGATCCCCCTGGGGTGGCCCTCAGGGCTGCGGGCTTTCCCAGCCTCGGCCAGAGAGCCGTCCCCAAGGGCTGGAGCCAACACGGGAAAAGAGGGCACGTGGGGGTCGGAGAGGAGCTGATACATGTCCATTTGCAACACCTGTGGTTTCATCTGAGGTCGGCCTCCTCTAGGGAGCACCTGTATGCCCAGGTATCTCCCCCTGGGGGTATGTCCTGGTTCCTGGTCCCTTTCGTGCAGCGTTTGGATTATTTTCAGAAGGGTTTTCTACTTTGATGTACTGTGGATCTGGGACTGTGTTTCTCAGCTGGGGCTGGTGTTGAAAGATGAGGGAAAGGAGCGGGTGGCCTAGAGAGGAGGGAGGAAGCACCCAGTGGCTCGGGTGGGACATCCCGGGAGGCCTGGTGGGAGGTGCTGAGCTGGTGCTGAACCATCCACGCGAAATGTCTTCCACACTCGTGTGCATCAGGGCACACAAAGGATGATGTAAGTTTTGCTTCTCTCTTTTCATCATCTTTGACCCAGGTATCCTGGGGAACTAATGAGACATAATTCTGTAACTGTTACAGTTACAGACTTTCACGTGGCTCTTTGGTGCTTATGTTCATCCATCCATTCATTCCCCATCCAGTGATGCACTGGGTGCCAGGAGTATGTTCAGGATACAGACTTAGCTCCAATCTTAGCCAGCGCTGTGGTTTTGGGAAATGCCTTACGCTTCTCCATGGCATTGGTGAGTCTGCATGTCAGAGCTTATGGACTGGAGAAATCTACAGCACATGGAGGGGTTGGGCCAGAAAGAGTCGGGAGCTTGAGGAATGTTGAACGTTGTTGACGCACAATGTAAGCTAGGGGTGAAGAGCCAGGACTGAACATCCATGTTGGGATATTTTTGTAAGTGAAAAAGAGTACTGCCAATCTTCATGTCAAGGCAATAGGTGTGAACCAGGACTGTCTAGAGAAACTGGCCTTGGGTGGGCAAAATGGAACATATGGGCCCCCGAGAAGAGTCCACTTTGAAGCCAGATGGCATGACTGAATTCCACCGCCTGCTTACTGACAGACTGGCCCGGGCAGAATCTGTCCCCTCTCTCTCCCTTTCATGGGGTTACTGTGAGAATTAAAAGAGGGGGCATTTCCAAAGGGCTTAGGACCATACCTGACATGTGGTACATGATCAGTAAGTATTGGCCCTTGTTATGTGTAAGTACATGATCATACACACGGAGCCTCAGGTGAGGCAGAAATTATGTGCCAGCAGTAAGTCCTAGAATAGAGATGCAGCCTTACCCAGCTCAGTAACGGATATAGAGTCGTTGCAATTTTATGTGCTAAGTTGCTTCAGTAGTGTCTGACTCTGCAACCCCATGGACAGGCTCTTCTGCCCATGGGATTTTCCAGGCAAGAATACTGGAGTGGGTTGCCTTTTCCTTTTCTATGGTGTCCTCCTGACCCAGGGGTTGAACCTGCACCTCTTAGGTCTCCTGCATTGGCAGGCAGGTTCTTTACCACTAGTGATAGTGAAGTCGCTCAGTCATGTCCGACTCGTTGCGATCCCATGGACTGTAGCCCACCAGGCTCCTCTGTCCATGGAATTTTCCAGGCAAGAGTACTGAAGTGGGTTGCCATTTCCTCGAGGCCAGAAGGCACAGAGCAAGGTAGAAACAGGAATGGGACCAGAACCCAGGTCTCTAGATGCCAAGGCTAGTCCTCCTTACGTCCTGCAGAGGGACAGAAGGGTTATGGAGGGAATCGGTAGGGGTGATAGCCATCCCGCTCTGGGTTTAATGACCTCATTAGCCCTACTTTGAGGACAGAGGCCTTGCCATGCTGTCCCATGGAGCTCCACCCATGAGCCCCCCAGGCTGCAGCCCTGCCTTGGAGCCCCTTCTCCCACCTCACAGAGGGTGTTCCTTTCGCAGCATCTTCCTGTGTTGAGAATGGAGATGAGGTGCTTAAAGTTCACCAAAACCCTTGCTGTTTTCCCCCTTCTTCTTTTTCAGTAGAAATATATGTTTTAAAAACATAATTAACAAAACTGAGTACACACTCTTTTCAACACACATGGAACATTCACTAAAGGAAATGATTTTTCTGGGCCATAAAGCAAGTCTCAACAAATTTCAAAGGACTAAAATGATACAGAGCATTATTCTCAAGCCACAGTAGAGTCAAGCCAGAAATCGGCAAGAAAATCACAACTAAAACATTCTCCAAATGTTTGAAAAATCAAGCAACACACATATAATCCTGGATCAAAAAAGAAATGGCAGTGGGGATTAGAAAATACTTTGAAATGAATAGTGAAAATATGACAAATTAAAATGTGCAGGTAGCAGCCAACACAGTACTCAGAGGGAAATACATAGCCTTCAGATGAATCTATTCCCTGTGAAAAAGATCAAGCTATACACTTAAGATCTCTACACTTTACTATGTATTTATTGAACTTCAACTTTAAAATTTAGTAAAACAGGAAATCATCCAGTTTAGCAAATTCACACTAAAATACAAATGAGTGAGAACATTAAACTATATCTACCTTTTAAGAGAAGGGTATTAAAAGGTACAGGAAAAAATGATTTTTTGCCACACTTTCAAGCAGAATGTCCTTACAGACTGGAAAATTTCAGATGACCCATGTCAGAGAGTTTGGAAGCCTTTCAAATGAAACAGACCAACCCATCCAGCAGGAAGTTGTACAAAAATTGCATTTTAGAAACATATTTGGGTGAAAGAGAGCTTAGAAAGAGAGATGCTGATGAATGATAAGAAAGGGAAGTCTAGGAAAAATGATATCCAAATACATATTTTATAGGTTCATATTAAACATGGTTGATAGAGACCTAAGGAGCTCTTTACTGGAATCAGCCATACTATTTCTAGTATAATCCTCAGTAAAGATCCCCTTCAACCTTCAGTTGCCTTGCAATGTATAAGCTCAAATTGATTTCCCTGTAATTCTATAGAGAGTATAATTATTTATCATTCTTACCCTGCCTGCTTTCACCACAGGTTAGTTGATAGAGTGTCATGATTTAGAGGCTCATCTTAATGTAGCCTTAGTTAAATATTATTAATATTCTCCCCCTCCCTTCTTTTAAATGACTGTCATGTCTGGACCAATCTACTTTGTCAAAGTAAGGTACTGATTTTCTGCAGGTGCATTCTTCCTGGTCAGCTGAGGACAAAGTCTCCTGTCATGGCCATCACAGTGGCACCTACTAGTGGGCAGCAGGCTTAAGTAGAGGCTGTGAGCCTGTGTCCCCAACTAGCAGATACATGGCCTCTGGTCTATGTTTTCTATCGGGTTACCCATACCTTGTTCCTCATCAAAGAGCTCTTAGGGTGTTGGTTGTAATAATCCCTTCACCCTGCCATGGCACTGAGGTTGTCATCATAGCACACACAGTTCTTATAAATTCTTCCACTCATGTGATCCCCATGACCATCCTGTAAGGAAGACAAAGCCGGACCAGCACCAGCCCCATTTCACAGATGAGAAAACTGAGGCCCGAGAGGGCCTATGACCTGCCCAGGGTCACACAGCCATAGTTGACAGCTGATATTCACACCAGGATCTTATAACCCGCCGACTAATACTGTTTTTGTTTGTTTGATGATTCTTTTTTTTTTTTTTTGACTATGCTGCATCTTTGTTCCTTCAAGGGCTTTTCTCTGGTTGTCGGTTGTGGTGCTTGGGCTTCTCACTGCAATGGTTTCTTTTGTTGCCGAGTCCGGGCTCTAGGGTGCTCAGGCCTCAGTAACTGTGGCATGTGGGCTCAGTAGCTGTGGCCTCAGGCTCTGGAGCACAGCCTCAGTAGTTGTGGCGCACTGGCTTAGTTGCTCCGAGGCATGTGGGATCTTCCTGGATCAGGGATCGAACCCATGTCGCCTGCATTGGCAGGCGGATTCTTTACCACTGAGCCACCAGGGAAGCCCTCCCTGTTCACTGACTCCTATCATAAGCGTTAGGGAAGTCCTCATTTCCTAGGTCAGACAGCGATTTTTTTTTTAAGAAGGACCCTGTAAAAACAACAGAGAGTTGTAGTCGCCTACAGGCAGAATCTCCAAGACTGTGTGTGTATTGCTGCAGAGACTCAGAAGCAGACAAACCACCTGCTCTAGGTTCTGAGCGCAGCCACGACTAATCCATTGAGTACACATTGGCACTTGCACATAAAGTAAAAAATAATAGCCCCGTACTTAGGAAAATATGTGTCTCTGGGGATTTAGACTAAGAGTTTTTGGTGTTGGGATTTTAATTTGTTTCACCTCTGGCGCCATCCACATGATGCTCTAAGTAGCATTTGAACCTATGTGTGGTCCAGAAGAGTCACCTGCATCCCTACCTGACCACAGTAAACAGGATGATGTAACTGAACAAGCCGGTGGTCACCCAGAGCCCCCAGGCCAGCCGCAGTCTTGCTATAGCACTCACAGCTGCCGATCCTCAGCCTTGAGGTCAAGGAGATGGAAGAGCAGGGAGGAGGGCATGGTCCCCCACAGGGTCCCCAGGCATTTGGGGTCTTGGTGGCACTCCTGACCCAGGATTCTGCCAGGATCAGAGAACATTGGTCCCGCCCCCTCATGCAGTCCCCATCTGGGGTCTATGCCGGGTGAAGACCCCTTCATTCAACTTTAGCCAGAGACTGCAGAGCTGGAAGCAGTTACAAGAGGCCAAAACTAGAACTTTCCGAAGACCAGTAAACATCTGCTCCCACTCTCATGTCCCCCTCCACTTTCTCATGCTGTGCCTCGGTTCCCCCCGAGTAAAAGGGTAACCCTCCCGTGGTTGTTTTCGGTGTTAAATCAGTTAGTGCACAGACAGCCCCGTTAGTGCACAGTGCAGTGCTTACCATGTTTTGTTGCTGTTATTAGTCACTAGGTTGAGTCCGACTCTTTGCAACCCCATGGAAGAATACTAGAGTGGGTAGCCATTCCCTTCAGGGGATCTTCACAACCCGGGGTCCAACCCCCGTCTCCTGCATTGGCAGGTAGATTCTTTACCACTGGGCCACCTGGGAGGCCCCTAAGCACCCATTAGCATTTTAGCAAAAGTTAATGATGATGATACGTTTATCAGCCAATCAGAATCCTCTTGGTGGCCATGGAGCCAGAAGGCCAGCTCTCTGTCCTGCCATTAATCTGCAGTGTGACCTTGGCCACAGTGTGACCCCCCAGCCCACCCCGGGGCTCAGCTTTCTCAGTTCTCAAAGGGGCCAAGTCAGAAATGCTGGGTTCTGACCAGCTGTCCCTTTTGGAGGCCTGAGGGAGCCCCACTTCTCGGACCCCTTCAGAGGGACAGCCCACCCACCAGGACTAGGTCAGGCATGTGGAAATGAAACAGAGAGGGAAGAGGGTGAAGAAGGACCACACACGCAGCGGCTGCAGCCGGGGTTCATTCCAAGCCTATGTTCAGTTACACGTTCAACCACTTAGACTGTTTTTTCCTTTCCAACTGTTTGACCATCACACAGGCCTGACCTTTTGTTGACCAAGAACCCAGAGCAGGAAAGTGGCACTTATTTAACTGATGCAGAGGGTGGAGCTGGTTTTTCCACAGCAAATATACTGGCTTCGTTTTTATTTTAGAATCACCAAGCTTCCCCTACACCCCAAGTATGGGATCTCTCCACTTGAGAGATGGAGGCTCAGGGCACCTCCAGCCTGAGCTAGGGCTCATAGGAGCATCAGAGAATAAGGGGTTGGTGAGACCCCGGGAGTAGAGGGTGTATTACAGACAGTGTATTATTGTGGTGGTGGTGTTGTTCAGTCGCTAATACATGTCCGGCTCTTTGTGACCCCATGAACTGGGGCCCACCAGGCTCTTCTGTCCATGGAATTCTCCAGGCGAGAATACTGGAGTGGGTTGCCTTTCCCTTCTCCAGGGGGATCTTCCCGACCCAGGGGTCGAACCTGGGTCTCCTGTACTGACAGGCGGATTCTTTACTGTCTGAGCCGCCAGGAGTGAGGGTCAAGGAGGCAGGGTCACCTCTTCATACCCACAGGATTTTCTGGGATCCTGTGATACAGTTGACTATCATCCCCTGAGGGGAGGGGGGTCTCTGCCCTGCCTGCCTCCCCCACCAACCCCTTAGAGGAGCGTCCTCCCATTGATTCCTGCCCACCCAATGAAACCCACTTAAGAAGATGAGTCTGTTTCTGAGAAATCACGAGATACTCCTTGGGAAAATGGTTCTGGAAGATGATCCGAAGCCTGACTCCTCCAGTCGCTGGGGATGGAGGACGGGGGCGCAGGGAGTCAGGAGAAAGTCTATCAAGCAGCTGGGGTTTGCTTTCCTTTCCTGGGGCTGCTGCCGCCATTCCCACCCCCACCCCTACTACAGGCCTCCCCAGGAGATGGTCTTAATCACAGGGGAGGGCTGAGGAAAGCAGGGAGAAAGGAGGGCAGGGAGGAGAGTGCTCTAAGCCGGCTCCCTGCCAGGCCCATCTGGAACCACTCGGGAACCACTCGGACCCACCCACCCGCCTTCAGCCCATCCCCCCATCCCTGGTCACTAGCCAGGAGGGTTTAGTAGTGTCTGTGGCATCTTTCCCCTTGAGATGGACATGCAAATCAACCTTCCTTACAGTCAGAAATGCTTCTCCACCTTAACTAAACCTTCTAGCTGCTTCCCCCGCCTTCTCATTTGAAAGTATCTACCTTGGGTCTCCACTCCCTCCCTGCCCCCACTACTGGATCCCTAGCCCTCAGCATCCTCCGCTGATGCTGCTCTGGCAAAGGTGAGACCTGCCAGGCTCTTGGGACTCAGCAGCACGTGGCCCTACGGCCCACTCCTGGCTCCCCTGTTCTCCTTGTGAACAGTCCCTTGTGAATCAGTCTCCCCAGGCTGCTTCGTCCTCCCAGGATCTTTCCTCGGCTGCCTCCTAGCTGTATGTGCACCTACCTTCAGTGTCTGACCCCTGCTCTCCAGCCCGCTGCCCCTAGCCCGGTTCAGACCCTGCTGTCTTTCTCTTGGACACCAGCCTCAACTGTACCAAGTGCTTAACGGGTCTTCCCAAGCACCCAGTCGGCCCCAGCCCCATGCTGCCCCTGCCCGGGACTCTCTCTGAAATGCGGGTCTCATCAAGGGACTGCCTCGCTGAGCACTTAACCGTGGTTCTCATCACTTCAGGATGTGAGTCTGAGTTCCGAGGCTTGGCTGCCCATGGTCTGACCCCTACCTGCCTGTACACCTCTCACTCCTCCACTTATAGCCTGCACCAGTGAACCCCAAAGTGCAGACAGCCGATCTACTTAAGATTCCTGTTCCTAATTACTTTCATCTTTAAAAAAAAAAAAGCAAAATTAAGCTTTGATGATTTTTACTGTATAGATTGAAAACAGTCCATGAATAAAATTTATAAATAAATATACATATTTATGGGGTATGCTGAAAACATTTTAGTGATGAAGTATACAGTTAGAAGAGCTTGGTGATCAGTGCCCAGCATCACAGCCCATCTCCCTGCCCATCCTCAGTGACCCTGCTCGCATTCTCTGGCAGACGTCTGTACTTAGCACTCCATCCACCACACCAGGCTGAAGTTAGCTGTGGGTGATAGAATGTTCAAACACATACCTTAAAGAAGCCATCAGTTTTTTTGTTCTCTCATATAAACTAAGTCTGGAGGTGAACAGCCCACAGATGGTGTAGCAACTCCAAAATCATCTGAGATCCAGGCTCTTTGAACTGATTACTCTACTCTTTTCAACCCATGGTTTCCAGCTCATGGTTCAAAATGGCTGCTTGAGCTCCAGCCATTCCATCAGCCTTCCAACTTACTAGAAGAAGGACGGAGTGAAGAGAGACATGCCTCGCCTTACTTTTAGGATATTTCTGATTACTAGAGATAAAGAATGGCATTTACTAATGATAAAGGGGTTGATCCATCAGGATGATATCACAACACCAAATCTATATATACTCCAAGATATATGAAGCAAAAATGAACAGAGTTAGCCAACAAGGACATACTTTATTGCAAGGAAACTATGCTCAATTTCTTGTAATAAACTCTAATGGAAAATAACCTGAAAAAGAAAATATATATATATATATATACTATCTCAATATCTTGCAATAACCTATAATGGAAAATAATCTGAAAAAATATATATGTATAGAAAATAATATATATGTATATATATTCTTTTTCAGATTAATACATATATTATTATATAATATGTATATATGTTATATATATATATAGTTGAATCACTTTGCTATACACCTGAAACTTAACACAACATTGTAAATCAATTATATTTTAATAAAAAATGTTTTAAAGAAAACAATAAACAGAGTTGAAGACAGATATACAAGTTCACGGTCCTAGTGAGAGTCTGATATACCTTTTTTTAAGAGCCAATAGAGCAAGCAGACAAAATCAGTAAGGATGAAGCTGTAAAACCTAGCAAGTTTGACCTAACTGATGGCTGTAGAACTATGGCAGCTCACAGTGACAGGATTTACCTTCTCAAACACACGGGAAATGCTCGCCCAAAAATGTTACTTTAAGTAGGTGCATACACTGCTTCTGCTTCCATGCCCTCTGCCATCAGTTAATCCCAGCAGAACCCAGCAGGGAGGGGGGCTGGGAAGTGTCATCTGCTCCAGGTGGCCAGGTGTCCAACTGAAATGGGGACTTCTGGTCCTAAGACTGAGGGGGGAACAAGTGTTAGGGAAGCCAGCAACCTCGGTCCTCCTTGCTCCCTTCCCCTGGCAGCTCTGGTCCCAGCAGCAGTGCATGGTGGATAAGGTCTTGGGCTGAGTCAGAAGCTCTTCGTTCTGTTCTGGTTTTACCACTTACTTGCTCTGTGACTTGGACAAGTTATTTAACCTGCCGGAGCCTCAGTTTGTTTATCTAGCAAAATGAGAACGACTCTACTTCATACTATCTCATTCACCTGGCATCATCGACTCAATGGACATGAATTTGAGCAAACTTCGGGAGATAGTGAAGGACAGGGGAGCCTGGTGTGCTGCAGTCCATGGGGTTGCAAAGGGTCAGACACGACTGAGCGGCTGAACAACTACTGCTTCGCAGGGCTATGGGGTAGCTGGAACAAGATCATGTGTGTAAAGCAGTTAGTCCTGGGCTTGGCACGTGATAAGTGCTCAGTACGTGTTGCCTGCACAGAGAGGTTAAGTAACTTGCCCCATGTCACACAGCCAGGAAATGACAAGGCTAGATTTCACATCCAGGCATCTGGCTCCAGGCTAGTTCTGATACTTCTCTGGGGACCTCTGCCACTCCCAGCAGAGGGCCCCACAGATGGTAGGGCCCCATGGAAGGAGCACAAAATAGGGAGGATAGGAAACCATTAGCCATTTGACTTAGAGTTATGTTAAAGTGTGTGACTTAACTCAGATGTGTGTTAATTTCCTCATTTCTTCTGCAGAAGGTTGGATTAAGTGAGCCCAGAGGTTTCTGCTGACCCTGACGTTCCACAGACCCATGCGGTTCTGTCTTCTCTATCCCTAGTGGCAGAAACTTTGCCATTAGAAATGTATGATTTTAATTAAATCCTGTCATCTGCCTGAACTCCTCTTAAAAATACAGTTTCCTTCAGAGCATCCTGATGCCTTGGTTTGCTGGTCTAGAAAAGGCTCTGGTGCATGAGTCCAGTGGGCCCCGGCTGGGAGGGGAGGACCAGACCCAGGGAGAGGAGAATGCAGACAGGAGAGGCCGAGCCCACTGGCCAGAGGGTCCCTTCATAGGTACCTGCATAGTGAGCTGCATGATGACTATGTAATAGCTCCTGGGCCAGTCGCCTAGCCAACTCCAGCCACTTTTTTATAGGGCTTCCTTTTTTCTCCTTCTGTATTTTTTCTGCCACCCTACCTCTCAGACTAAATTGGAGAGAAATGGGTTTTGTCTTTTTTTAACAAGAAGACAAAGTCTTAAATTACCTTATTTGAGGTCTGCAAATAGAAATCTCAAATAAGACAGCCACCTCTTCTTTTCTCTCTTCCTCTTGCCTTGTCTCAGGAGCCCCTGAGCTTGAAATAAAGTGCAGAGCAGTGGCTCTGGAGGAAGTAATCTGGGTCGGATCGGTACCAGTCACCAAGAGTGGGCAAGGCTGCCCGATCGGACAGGGGTGGGAACGGGGGAAAAGGAGACAGAGGTGGGCAGAACCATGGCCTTGCTGCTCTGGGTCTGGAATAAAAGAGGTCCCCCAAAGGGGCTATTCCTTAAGGTGCAGCTACGCTGAGTGTCAGCGTGTGTGCCCAGGGGATGAGAAGCCTGAGCAGGGACCACAGAGGCCGCTGTTGGGACTTAGATGCAAATGAGACCACTGGGCACAGTGACCCTTCACCTTCTCATCCCACTGATGCCAGCGCCCAAGGAGCCCACTGGTGGGCATCAGGACTAGGGAAGGGAGCATGGCTCTGGGGCAAAGACTAGGAGTTCTATGGCCGGCGTCCTGGTTTTAATCCCTGCCCCAGGCAATCAAAATTAGCCAACCGAGATTTACCTTGTGCTGGGGACTGTGGTCAGCCCCTCACAGAGACCATCCCATCGAGTCTGCGAGACATCCCGCCATGCAGGCATCGTCATCATTTCCTCCCATCCAGATGAGGATACAGAAGACGAGAGGTTCCCTAACTACCCAGGTTCTCACGTGCCTGTGACAGATAAGGGTTGGAACCCAGGACGCCGGGCTCCAGAGCTCTTGTCTTCCTCCTGCCAAGCCACTCAGCCCGCTGACCCACTTCCTTCTTTGGAAAGTCGATGTGCTTGGGGCAGGCGAGGTGGCCCGGGGATCACTGAGGCCCTTTCTGAGCACGGATGCTCTGATTTGAGGTTCATGCCTCACCTACGTGTGGAAAGGTCCGGTTCAAATGATGCAGGATTCCACTGCAAAGCAGGTGCACTGAGTGTGTGCGTGTGTGTGTGTGCATTCATGCACTTGTGTCTGGCAGCCCTTCTGAGACAGGGCAGAGAGTAAGAGCAGAACAAGACTGGAGACTTCCCTGGTGGTCCAGTGGCTTAGACTCTGCACTCCTGATGCGGGGCCCAAGGTTCGATCCCTACTCAGGGAACTAGATACTACATACCACAACCAAGACTTCACATGCCACAGCTAAAGATCCCACATGTGGCCACTAAGACTCAGCACAACCATGGAATTCTCCAGGCCAGAATACTGGAGTGGGTAGCTGCTCCCTTCTCCAGGAGGTCTTCCCGACTCAGGGATCAAACCCAGGTCTCCTGCATTGCAGGCAGATTCTTTACCCTCTGAGTCACCAGAAAAGCCTGTTTAAGAAGAATACAAAAGGACGCTGCAAAGTTGGTAGGAAGACTTGCAGGTTAGACTTACGTCAGAGGGGCCAAACCAAGATCCACAGGCCTAGAAAATTCTGTCTGGGTCACCTCCATTGTATGCCTAATGGCCTCTGGGTTTTTCTGTTCTTTGCTCAAGGTTGCACACCCCCAACCTCAGAGCCCCCCGGTCAGACAGGCTTGGGAGCCCCTTGAAGGGAGCCTCACTGGGGAGCCTGGCTCTGGGCTGGCGAGGCTGCCTCAGCGGACACCCTGGCCATGCATGTGTCTTCTTTGCAGGCCCGGCAGCCATGGCCCATTACAAGGTGGAGCAGGATGACTGGCTGACCGTCTACTTGAAGTATTTGCTCTTCGTCTTTAACTTCTTCTTCTGGGTAAGTGCACCCGGCACACTCCCCCCTCCCCCAGCACTGGCGAGTCAAGTCATCTTTGCTGTTTTGTGAGTCATCACTCTGGCGTTGATTTTTTTCTTTTCCAAAGACCACTCAGGGGGCAAATTCTGCCTGTTTGAGAGCAAATGTGTGCATTTGTTATTGAGGGGAAATGAAAGGCTCAATCCACAGGTTGGCGTGGGCAGCGTCACGGCCTCTGAGAGAAGGATGCTCGGCCTAGCTTGTGTCCCAGCCTCCTCAGCCCGCGGGGTCCACTCTGCCTTCCCAGCCATAACTCGAGGTCCCAGATCCCGGCGGGAAATGCGACGGCCTCTAATAACTGCTTCTTTGTGTTTGAAGCCCATTTGCCTCTTGTGACTCATATTCTCCAGGCCCGAGGCAGAGAGACGCAAGTCCTGGGGTGGGTTGGGGGACAGCGGTAGCGGGTGGCGGGATGCCTCTGTGCTTGGGGAATGGTCTCCATAGTGACCCCGCCCCAGGAAACTGTCCAGACTAGGTCTTCTAGGAGCAGAGGGATCTGTCCACTTGAGACAACTCTCCAGGTAACCGGGAGCAGAATACCATCAGGTGCCCAAAGTAGCCAGGTACTGGAGTGTGTATATCACTTTGTGAGATGGTCTCACTGGACCTGGAGGGCTAGAGTGTGGGCAGTGTGGGCAGCCCTGCTGTGAGCAGCTCATCTGTGCTGGCTAAGGCTGTTGTTGTTGTTCATCAGTAAGTTATAATCGACTTTTTTGCGACCCCATGGTCTACAGCGTGCCAGGCTTCCCTGTCCTTTATTGTCTCCCGAAATTTGCTCAAACTCCTGTCCATCGAGTCAGTGATGCCATCCAACCATCTCATCCCCTGTCGCCCCCTTCTCCTCCTACCTTCAGTCTTTCCCAGCAGCAGGGTCTTTTCGATGAGTCGGCTCTTCGCATCAGGTGGGCAAAGTATTGGAGCTTCAGCTTCAGCATCAGTCCTTCCAGTGAATTTCCAGCTAAACAAAAGTTAGCTCTGCAGTGACAAACCTGCATTTTTGCCTGAATAATGTGCTCATTCCCCCTCCCTCCTGCCTGGAAAAATCTTTCATGTTATACATCTCTAAGAGCTCCTTTTCATCTGCTCGATGGGATGCCGCCTAGATTCAAATGGAGTTTTGTTCAAATCAACTTCAGATTTTGAATGTGCCTCAGTTTATCTTTTATTGGTGTGTTTCACAGATGCCCTGAAATGGTGTATGTAAAGTGCTTGATTCCGTCTCTGCACACAGAAGGCACTCAATAAATGCAGTATTTCGGATACATGAGATGTAGAAGGCCCCCAGATGCTACCAGATCAACTTGCCAGTGAGGCTGGGCTAGGTTTCCTTGTTGCCATGGCAAAAGATGCAGTTTCAGAAGCATCTCGGAAAGGCAGAGGCAGAGATGGGCTGTGTCTGCCTTTTCGGTCTTTCACTAAGATGAATGAAATTGCTTAATACGGGAAAGGGTCCTGGCACGGTAGTTAAGACTTGGTGCACACACCGAGGCAAGGGTTTCAAGGAGTCTTGGAGAGGAGACACGTGATGCTATCTATTCAGTAGTTGAATGATCTGATACTTGTTTAAATGCAAAGTTCCTGAAACAAACCATAAACACATTTTATTTGCACCTTTTATCTTCATGGGCAAGTATTTCCTGGAATAGTGAAGTTGTACAGATGAAGACAGTAGAACAATAAAGTCACATGGCTGCGATCAGTATGCTCTGTGGGTGTAAATACTTCCGATTCCCAGAGATAAATCCAGTGGGGTGTTTAGGATACTTGCTGAGTGAGGGTTTTTTTAAAAAGAAGAAGTATGCTTTTCCTGATCATGAAAGTGATGTATCTACTAATAATCTTAAAATACTGAAAAATATAAATAAGGAAAAATTGGCCCAGTATCTCACTGTCTTGGGCTGCTGAGGAGCCTTAACAAAGGAGCATAAATTGGGTGGCTTCAGACATCAGATATTGTTGTCTCATAGCTCTGGAGGTCAAAAGTCCAAAGTCAGCTCCCCACACAGACCTCCTGCTCTGAGTTAAAAATACCCCTTCCTGGGGGGCCTGGCTAAACACGGCCGGCCTCCAGGGATCCAGTCAGCCCAGTCTCCTCCCCATGTAGGGGATGGTCAGTTTCAAAGGTTCAAGCTTTGAGGTTCTGCCCCCCGGACCCCCTGCAATCTCAGTAGACATGGGACAGACCCCTGGACAGTCTTCCTTCTCCCGCAGCAGAGCCCAACCTCATGCGTTCGGCAGCACACAGAGTCCCTGGGAATTTTCAAGAATTCTCCAGGGAGGGGTCTCGTCCATGAGGACCCCTCCCACACACCCCAGAATCTAGTGGCTGGTCCTCCTCTCGGAGCAGCCCCTCTTATAAGATGATATCAGAGCCAGTGTCTGCACTGCGGGTGCTCTCCACCCCCCAGAGGTCCCCACCTCTTCTCCCTTCCCTATGGAATCTGTGTAGAGCACCAGGGAGGGTCCCCAGACACCCCACTGCCCCTCCTCTACCCCGAGTGCAGCCTCAGAAGGTGCCCTGGACGGCAGAGGCAGCTTGATTGGGGTGAACACTCCAAACACTTCCTCGTCAGAACAGTGGTCCTGCCCTGTGCATCTCCTTGCTACACCGTTCAGATGCGGCCGGGAGACAGTAAGAAAGCCCAGGTCCTCTCCATGGGAGGATTCATGGGGACTCCCCTGGATAAAGACCTTACGTATATCATCCCTTGCGATGCTCATATCAACCCTGGTGGCCGTACCTCTGTTATCCTCGTCACCAACAGGGAGCAGGCACAGTCAGTTCAGATTCCTTCTTGCTGTCTTGTGATAAGCAAGCTGGAGCTGACATCCAGGTATTTCTGGTCAATGATAATTGAAAATCCAGTCCGTGGCATTTATTAAGCACATGCTAAGTGCCAAGCCCTGCTGTTGGCCCTTGGAGTATGTCTATGGACAAAGCTTCCCACGTCCATGAAGCTCACAGCTGAGGGCTCCCCTGGGCTGTGCTTCCACCTGCATCATCCTAGATTACCTCCCAGCGTCCTGAGGCTGTGAACAGCTTTGTGAGAGCCCCAGTTTACCTAGGGGGAAGCCATCTGCCCAAAGCCCGTGAGGTGTGTGCTTGACCATCAGCTCTGATGTCATCCATTGCCTCCAGCTCTGAGTCCTGCCTATTCCCAGTGTCCTGTGGGTACATGCTAAGTCGCTTCAGTCGTGTCCAACTCTTTGCAACCCTATGAACGGTAGCCCTCCAGACTCCTCTGTCCATGGGATTCTCCAGGCAAGAATAGTGGAGTGGGTTGCTGTGCCCTCCTCCAGGGGATCTTCCTGACACAGGGATCCAACCTGCATCTCTTATGTCTCCTGCATTGGCAGGCAGGTTCTTTACCACTAGTGCCATCTGGGAAGCCCATGAGTTAGTGACACAGTAGGGCATGCCAGGAAGACTCAGGCTCAAGTTCTAGCTCAAATTCAGTCTGTTGTCTACTGTCATGGTACTGCGGACTGAGTCGTGACCCATTGGGATTCATGTGTTGAAGCCTGAATTGTCAGGGAGGCTCTACTTGAAGACAGGATGTTTAGGAGGTAATTAAGGTTAAGTAAGGTCATAAGACCTGCCTCTTGAGAAACCTGTATGCAGGTCAGGAAGCAACAGTTAGAACTGGACATGGAACGACAGACTGGTACCAAATTGAGAAAGAAGTACATCAAGGCTGTATATTGTCACCCTGCTTATTTACTTATATGCAGAGTACATCATGAGAAACGCCGGACTGGAAGAAGCACAAGCTGGAATCACGATTGCCAGGAGAAATATCAATAACCTCAGATATGCAGATGACACCACCCTTATGGCAGAAAGTGAAGACGAACTAAAGAGCCTCTTGATGAAAGTGAAAGAGGAGAGTGAAAAAGTTGACTTGAAGCTCAACATTCAGAAAACTAAGATCATGGCATCTGGTCCCATCACTTCATGGCAAATAGATGGGGAAACAGTGGAAACAGTGACAGACTTTATTTGGGGGGACTGCAAAATCACTGCAGATGGTGACTGCAGCCTTGAAATTAAAAAACGTTTACTCCTTGGAAGAAAAGTTATGACCAATCTAAACAGCATATTAAAGAGCAGAGACATTGCTTTGCCAACAAAGGTCCATCTAGTCAAGGCTATGGTTTTTCCAGTAGTCATATATCGATGTGAGAATTGGACTATAAAGAAAGCTGAGCACAGAAGAATTGATGCTTTTGAACTGTGGTGTTGGAGAAGACTCTTGAGAGTCCCTTGGACTGTGAGGAGAGCCAACCAGTCCATCCTAAAGGAAATCAGTCCTGAATATTCATTGGAAGGACTGATGCTGAACTGAAACTCCAATCCTTTGACCACCTGATGCGAAGAACTGACTCACTGGAAAAAGACCCTGATGCTGGGAAAGATTGAAGGCAAGAGGAGAAGGGGACAACAGAGGATGAGATGGTTGGATGGCATCACCAACTCAATGGACATGAATATGAGTAAGCTTCGGAAGTTGGTGATGGACAGGGAGGCCTGGCGTGCTGCAGTCCATGGGATCACAAAAAGTCGGACACGACTGAGTGACTGAACTGAACTGAACTGAAGGTCATAAGAGGCTTCCCAAGTGGTGCTAGTGGTAAAGAATCTGCCTGCCAATGCAGGAGACTTGGGTTCAATCCCTGGGTTGAGAAGATCCCCTGGAGAAGGAGTACTCGTGCCTGGAGAATCCCACAGACAGCGGAGCCTGCTGGGCTACAGTCCATAGGGCCACAAAGAGTCAGACACGACTGAAGCAACTTGGCACGCCCGCACTCACAGGAGGTCATAGAGGTCCTCATTCCATAGGGTTGGTGGCCTTACAAGTGGGGGAAGAGCGCACTCTCCAGAGGACACGTGAGGACACAGTGAGAAGACAGCTGTCCGTAGGCAAAGAAGATCCTCACCAAAACTGAATCAGCCAGCACCT